GTTTATCATGAAAATGCACCCTTTGTACTAATATAATACTTTTTTCGTCGTTTTCTCTTATGTTTAGCTCAAAGAGATTCCTGTGCTGGTGGAACCCAGAACAAGCAAGAGGAAGAGAAAGAAATTACAGGTTTATTGGATGGAAGTGGGGAATATACTCTAGTATATGAAGATAATGAAGGAGACAGGATGCTTGTTGGGGATGTCCCATGGCAGTAAGCATCGATCTTATCATTGTGGATTTGGTGCAAGACTTAGATTATTATTCGTCTTGCTCGTTTATTATATTCCAACACTTGATTTGAGCCTATAACAAATTAATCACCCCATTTTAAGAAATAATGCAGCATTAGATTCCTAATCTCCAAACAATATGCTACTCCTTCTTTATGCATAAAAATCATATATAGTACTGTTTTTGTTTGTTATTTGTTTATGTAATGATTCCCACAACTCTGTGCGACGGCATCGTAGCATGTCGTTTTTCACCTGAAAAATTTCTAGGATTGTGCCCTGCCATGAGCATAAAACAGTTTTGTATAATTTGGTTCTTGATCTTTGATCTGCAGCATGTTTGTGTCTACTGTGAAGAGGCTGCGTGTGCTGAAGAGCTCTGAACTTTCTGCGCTTTGTCGTAAGTTTGATATTTAATCATTATATAAAAATGCAACTTTGTCTTGATTGATTAGTACCTACTGCTTCCTTCCCTGTACTGATTATAATTAAATTAATGACGTTTTGTTTTCAGTTCGTAACAGCAAACAAGGTAAGATGCCACCAAACTCTGCATCGAAGTGAAGAAAGAGGAATTTTAATCTCAAGAATTCCCCACTGAAGTTTGTATTTTGTAGTAGACTTAATCTGTGTGACTCAATCAGAAGTTTTGCTTTTGTAATTTCTCTTTCAAGAAAGGGAAAGAGAAAAAGGAGGAAATTATTAGCTACAACTCAAGTGATGCCTTTGTTTTTGCTGAAAATGCTATTTAATCCCCATGGCTCTTGTAGAAAAAGAAAGGAAAAAGAAAAAGGAAAAGAAAAGTAGCTCATGTGTTCTGATGGTACATTACTCCATCCATTATGCTTACTTTTTGTTCTGTACTTAAAGGGGATAATTGAACAGAATGCAAATATCAAGAAACCCACTTAGCCCTGTTGCTTTGGATTTGTGTGGTGTCAAATGCTTGGATGGAAGCATTACAAAATGAGAAAAAAACTCAATTTCTTATTTTGTAATGTTTCCCACTATTAATGAATAGAGTTTCCTTGACCAAAAAAAATAAAATAAAATTAAAAAATGCTTGGATGGACGTCATTTTCCACATCGCTATTATGCTCTTAAATCGGTTAGACTCCCCCAAGAAGAAAACCTGTTTTGATTGATTCGGCGACTGTTCCAGCAGAAATAAAAGTGAGAAAAAGAATATGCCATAATACTATTTTGTTATTCTCTAATAATGTTATGATTCACGCTATAACACTTTTCAAATGACATAACATTATTGATCGGGGATAGCAAAATAATATTATTCCCGCAACTAACAGACTTGTATTCTTATCAAGTGTCAATGACTTTTGCTTGAGAAACAAAATAATGACTGTTGTAAGGTAGTCACCTACCTAACTCCCACGAGACTAGGAGACAAGTCAGACAAGGGTGATTTTGTTTCTCTCTTTCCTTAAAAGTCTTTTATGTTGTTTGACTGCAACAAGATAGAAAAAAGAAAATCATAAACATCTATTTTAATCCATTATGCTAACCTATTCCTAACTAGGACATAGAAATCTGGCCAAAACAGAAAAATTAAAAGGGAAAAAGTAAAAAAGAAGACTAGGGCACCATGTAGGTGGCAGTGGAGCTAGTATTGATGAACTTGAATATGAGTATGTAGGTTGGGGTGTGCTTTGAAGCCCCACATAAATGCCATTTTGTTTTGCTAAGTTGCTAACAACAAATTGAAAGAATGATGGGCAATAAAGCTTGCCACACTTTTCTCCTCTTCTTTTTTTATTCCATCTAAGCAAAGGCACCAATTGTACACTATTCATTGTATTCAGAGGGATTCTTTCGGCTATGGGACCTTGGGTGGGGAGAAAGTAGAAATATGTGTACACCTTTTTAGTTCAAAAGAGTAGACCCAAAAATCCACACTCCTCATTAGACCTTCTGATGTGATGCTCCTACATCTCAACACTATTCTTTTGGTCCCTTTCTAAAATGTACATGTACTTATTCCACTTTTAAATTAGTATATCATGATCACAATGCATTAACGGTCAACACGACTACTCATTGTTTAACAAGAATCGCCAACACGTGAATGGACAAATTCCCATACATTAATAATCTGGAATCATCCACGCACACGGAGACGACTGAAGCGTGTGTTGTTGATGTCGAAAGTTAGAGAACTGTATTTGTTACACTGGTTGATGAGTAAGATAGTGACTGTCATCAATACGGCTTAATTGTAGGGTTTAGATTCGTTTGGATATTTAGGGTGTGTCGTGTCATAATCAACGTGGGGGGGCATTAGAAAAACTGTCTGGAACGTGAAAAAGAATACGGAGGTTTGGGGAGGGTTGAAGGGTCTTTGTCTGTTAATTGAGAGCTGCCTAACTTTTGGGCGAAAAATGAGACTGGTCATATTCTAAAAGGAATTTAGTTTAGAGTGTGGTCGGAGGTCTCTGGTTTTGAGTTTAGGGTGAGGAGGATAATAATGTTTTCAGCCTTAGCTGCATTTTTCCTAGAGTCCACCAGCTCATGTACAAAGTTTTCTGCCGCCCAGCCTTTATCAATGTACTGCTGGGTGTACTTATAATTTCATTACCAGCACAAGCCAATCAATTGATCATTCAGGTAGGGTTTTGTTTAAAACATGTGTACATATTTGTGTGTCCAATTGATTAATTTATGCACATATTCATGTAATTAGAGGAATGCAAAATTGTTTGTTTTAATTAAAGTAAATTTTGTGTTTTCCTTTGTGTTGAAATGGTAGCTGCAGCTGCTGAGGAAGTGAAGAGACATGTAGGTTCCTGCTACAAGAAGTGCAACCAAATTGTTTTTTCAATTTTGGTCTCCAATGCTTCTTTTGTGGTGTTGCATTTCCAATCTTCACCAAAATCCTTCATCTAGCCCTTGATCGATTTGTTTCCTTGTCTCCAAGGTGCATCTTCTAAAATTAATCCTTTTGGAGATCACTTCACCAAAAACCAATATGCATTTCCCATGTATAAGGAAACTTAGCAAAAAAAGATCCCGGAAAGAACATTATTTAGATTTTAAATACGACATGATAACACGATTCGAACTTGACACAAAATTTGTGGGCTCGATTGATTTGAACCTGATCACAAATACGATATAAATGGGTTTTGGATTAGTGTTTAGTCATTCATATTGATATTAACTTACTTCATGAGCAGAATATGTTTTCTTCCAAATTTTTAGTTTCTGTCATTTCCTCTAGTTATGGGCAGTGGAGTGATTACAATTAGCTCCTCTATAATTTCAAAATCAAAGGGCCGGATTGCCAGGAAAATTAATAATTTCTGTCATTTCCTATAGTTAAGGGTATAATACTTTTAATTATTCATAATGGAATTCCCTAATATAGCTGGCAAATTAGCAAGCTAATTGTAATCCAGTCATCCTGATGTGAGCAAAGGGATATATATATCACAAAAATTATATTGCTTATTGGTTGCAATCATAATTGTCCTCAACAAAGGGATAGAAAAATACATTATGAGCAAGAAAAATTGCAAGAGATAGACAAATAGTAGCGATTTAGCAAATATCTTTAAAGCTTTTCCCCCCATTAAGCCCAATAGAAAGAAAAAAAATCAAAATTTCACAAACTAAAAAAAACCTTAGGTCCCTTCATGCATTCATATCATACATGAAAAAATGTTTTATGTAAAAATATTGACCAAGTATGAAAAACTGTTTTTCGGAATAATCATTTTCTCAAGATAATTTTTGGCGGCTTTTATTCCTTACACATCAAATAAGAAAACTTGATTTTATGGGATTTTAGTATGAAGTATATATTGACTTAATGAGCCATCATTTTTAGCCTAAATCATATTTTGCACTAAAAACCATTTTTCATATTTTGATTTGGTGGGAATTTGATTTTCTAGTATTTTTATTTGAATCCAAATAGGGGATACTTACTTATTTACATTGTAAACTTAAGTAAATGGAGTAATATAAAAATAAGGGTAAATTACTTAAATGGTCCTCAAATTTATACCCAATTTACATTTTGGTCTCTCAATTAAATTATTCGTTCAAATGGTCCATCAACTCTATATTAATCGCTCCATTGATCCTACCGTTAAATTATGTTAATGTTGCCGTCAAATGTAAGGGGAAAACTATCCATAACTGTCCTATGTTCCCCAAATAGGTGATAAAGTGGTGATAAAGGGGTGATACATAGGTCAAAAGTCTTATTTACCCCCACAAATATAGCATGTGTTGCTCACATGACTAAATTTAACAGAAAATGTAACGGCAGGACCGAAGCGCCAATTAATAAAGAGTTGGTGAACCATTTGAACGAATAATTTAGTTTAGGGACCAAAATGTAAATCGAGTACAAATTTGAGGACCATTTGAGTAATTTACCCTAAAAATAAATGAAAGTAAAAGGACAAAGACATTTACTTAAATGTTGAAAATGGAAATAAGGTAATCTGTACACCTGGGGCCAATACCCGATGACAAAGGGGCAATTTGAAGCAACTCCTTGTGCCTTAATAAGTCCAACACAAAACGTAAAGTATTTGAAATAATATATATATAGAAATACATAACAGTATATTACTTTTAAAATATAAAAAAATTGAATGGGGGCTCGTGACCACACTGGTCCCAGTGTAGCTCCGCCCTTGGCCAAGAAGATGGATAAATTAAAGGTTTCGTTATTAAGGCTATAAATAGTGAGCTAGCTTTGTGTTAAACTTCGAACATATATTTGTGACAACATAAGTTATAGAAATTGAGAGGGGGCATAGCCATGGAAGCAACTAGCACCCCCAGCTGGAATATTACTATGATGCTCATGATCAACGTTATGCTTGTGCTGCTTGTTCATGTAGTGCAACCACTTCCACAGGGCCGAATTTATTTTCCTGAATTTAGTCCTCCTTCTCCTCCTCCTCCTCCTCCTCAAAGTCCGAATCCATATCACACGCGTATATGTTATGAATCCTGTTCATATGAATGCCGCGGGGAAATGAGTAAGGATAATTCACCCAATCCCTCTCCAAACCCTCCTGACCTCCCAGACCAACCCAAAATTCCTCCCATGGGTTGTGGTGGTTATTGCTATCTGAGATGCTCCGAACAAATGCCGCCAAACCTCTATCAATGTACTGCTGGATGCGCTTATAATTTCATGACTACCACAACCCCAACCCAATCCAATGATGATTCAGGTATGTAATATTATTATCTACACATGAGCGCTCCTTATTATGCACAGGTTTTGTTTATTTATTTATTCCAAGTTTTCTATCATCATCATCATCAAGTTTTTGTGTCTTCATATGATGTAGTTGCAGATGCTGAGAAATTGAAGAAAGATATCGGTTCCTGCTACAAGAAGTGCCAGAAGTATTCTCAAGGACAGTTGGGTTGACATATGATATCATCTCTATAAGAATCAAAGAAAAGCAGTGGCGAAATCAATAATGGATGTAACAATTTTAGTGTCCTACGTTTGCTTTTCCGAACGTTTAATAAGTATATGCCCTATATATCAGCCTCCTATCACAAAATCTATATATGTATCTGTCAATAAATCAACGAATTAAACAAATTATATTAGACCATGTTGTTGAGTTGAGTTTTCTATGTTAAATTATTATTTGTTTCGTTTTTCAATTTTTTATACAAACACTATCTTAAGATGAACATAAGACCTCGCATGTAGAGATAAATGCAGTTAATTTTCTTGTGTCTTACTTGCGATTTCCGACATGTTAATCCTTTGGTGATCGCTTTCCCAAACTAATTAAAAGGCAATTCCCATGTATAATTAGAAACTTAATAGAGTGACCGAGATCCTAACAGTTGCAGTCCAACGCAATGTTGGCCCCATAATTGGAAACATTTTTAAATTTGTGAGCTTACGAGATTATGGGAAAGAGGCACAAAAGCTTCGAAGTTTTTAATTTTTCTTTTTCTTCAAGCTATAGATTGCTGTTAATATCTATTTCATTATTTGATTAAGGAGCATAGTGAAATGATCACAATTAGCTCCTCTGCTTCTGAATCAAATTGCTGGATTGGCAGGCATATCTATTTCATAATTGTTGGTTACTATCTCCTAACTGCTCAATCAAGTGGATAACAAGAAAAAGTATTAGAAAATCAGGTACATGGTGCCACAGTACTTAAAACATGGTATGTGATTAGAAATAAAAACTAATCATTAAATTTGAACACATGTCATCTTTTAACTGGATTGTTTTGCCACTCAATAATAATATCACGCCACTTGATAAGAAGAAGAGCACATAAGTTTTTGTCATACGCACAAACAATTGATGTAAGTTTTGTTTTTGTAAGTCTTTTGGTATAATTAAAGCTAGCTAGCTGGTGATGCTAAGAAGTGAAAAACATGTTCGTTTCCAGCTACAAGAAGTGCAAGAAGTATTCACAAAGACTGTTGGGTTGAGATTGAGACATGATATGATCCCTGATTGTTATTAGAATGAAAGAATATATATACAAGTGGCGAAATGGATACGTAATAATTCTGTCTCCTAGAATGTTATATCAACAAACATTCTATATGATAATCTTAAAAGCTATAGCTATCAAATAAAATCTTTGCTGCTTCTTGCATGGTCCGGGGCTCAGTCTTTTTGGTTTTCTCTAATCTTGTTTCTTTCATTCACAGATCACAGATGACTGTAAATAATTCATTGCAGGACAATATCAAAATGACACAAACACAAGACTCAAAGTTAAGATGGACAAAGATTGTGCCTTAGCCATCTTCATTTCCTACAATAATCAAATTATATATATATATATATATGTGCTCATGGGCTAACTTGTTTTCAACATCGAAAAATAAACCACAAAAATTCTGAAAATTAAACACACACACACATAGAGAGAGAGAGAAGATTAAGATGGAAGCAACAAGTACTTCCAGGTGGAATATTATCATGATGCTCATGCTCAACACTATGCTTGTGCTGCTTGTTCATGCGGTGCACTCAATTCCAATCCACCACTACAAACCAAGAGCATTTCGTCCCTACATTACTCGTCCTCCACCTCCTTCCGACGGCGGCGATACTAGTACTGATTTAGAATCACCACCACCAACACCAAATCCAAATCCGAATTCAAAATCACCGTCTTCGTTGGAAGGCCGCATTCGCGATATTAATCAACTTTTATGTGATGAATCCTGCTCACTCGAATGCTGCCGCCGCTTTGTCTTCAACGACAGCTTATGCCTCCGCGGCCGCCTTCCTGAACCGGGCTTTCCCCGTCCCCAATATATCCCAGGGCGCCGTTCCCCTTATTCCTTTTGTAAGTCTGAATGTTACAACAGATGCAACTATGAAATGCCCCCCAACCTCTATCAATGCACTGCTGGATGTGCTTATAACTTCATTACTACTAAATCAGCGGAATTAACACATGATCCAGGTATGCTATATTCCACCATTTTATTTGTAAAATATTCATACGAGATTTTTTGTTTGTTTATTTATCTACTTATAATTTAGTCATGATTTAAGTTTAATTTTTGTGTTATAATGCTAGCTGCAGATGCTGATGAAGTGCGCAAACATGTTGCTTCCTGCTACAACAACTGCAAGACGTATTCTGAACTAGTGTGATCGAGACTGTTAGGTTGAGAGATATGATCCTATCTATAAGTTGATTTGAATCTAAGAATCGCAATATTGAATTGGATCCATGTAATAATTACCAACGATAAAAGTCTCTGTTGTGAGATGAGCCTCCGATATAATAAAATTATTTTTTCCCCAATCTATGTGCTGCCCATCAAATGTGACAACGAACTCCAATTGGTAGAGATTTGACTTGTAAAAACTATGTTTCAACATACAAAATGTTCAAAAGTGGCCTGTTTTAATTGCTTGGCCCAAAACATGATTAGTGCTAAAAAGCCAAATTCTTATTTTAGTCCAACCTAACAACGTGAATAGTTTGATTTAAATCATTATATGGTATCATGGTGGGCTAATCAATGTGATCATATTAATTGTATAATGATTTACACGCACGGACGGATCCACAAAGGAGCAAGGAGGTGGAGGTGTAGCTACACATAATATGTATAAGTGATTGCAAGTAACTTTGTTCAAAATATTTGTGTCCACACTATTACAATTTACAAATGGGTTGCGTTAATGTTTAGGCATTCATATTGATAAATTATACATGTCATCATCAATGGCAAAGCCACTCCCAGGCCCTGGAGACCCAAATTTGGATCTCTCCTCTATTATATTATATATAACATAATTAGACATGACTAAATTAGAAAAATTTAGCTTTAAACATGTAACTATTGAATACTTAGGTACTTTATATACTTGTATTTTCTACTTCGCCCCTTCCAACTTTATGATTCTAGCTCTGCCCCTGCATGTCATATTAAAGCTAATACTAGACACAAACACGAAATGACATGACATCAACAGTGGTGGATCCTACTAGCTGTGGCATTAGCGGAAACATTTCAAATTTGTGGGCTTGCAAGGGTACAAGGGAGGGGTCTATATATGGCATTCTCACTAGAAAATTTTCGTGGGCTAAAAGTTAAAACTTACCTACCTATTTTTGGGCTTGCAAGGTCATTTAAGATTATGGGCCTGATGTTAATATTGAGGTTTATTTAAAAGCGGGTGCAAGTTAAGGAGCTTATTCTACCAAATTAATTTCTGTCGTTTCCTTTTTCCTTAAGTTATGGGTAGTGGAATGATATTTGATTACAATTAGCTCCTCTGTTTCTCAATCCAAGAACCGGGAAATACTAGGAATGATTACGTACAATTATTAGTGGAATTTCCTCCAATTATACATGAATTATGTGCTCATCATCATCGTAATTAATAATGTTAATTGTTTCCAGTATATACACATGACTCAAAATTTGATCTCAATACTCATCATACCAAATTAAGGGTACGTTTCTAATTGAGGCTATAAATACAGGGCTTGTGTTGAATTGAACATCCAACATATGACTTTTGTATGCATCAGTGTATGCGGAAATGCAACAAGCAAATTAAGGGTACGTCATAATGCTATGCCAGCTGCAGATTCTGATGATAAACTGCTATAGCAAGATCTTGTTGCTTCCTGCTATAGCAAGTGCAAGAAGATTTCTCAAGAGTGATCGAGATTCAAGACACTGCTATTGGAACCAGAGACTCGCATTATCCAAATGGATGTAATAATTTTGATCTCTCATTTCTGTAGCCTCCGTGTACAATGAATCTCTGTATATTTTCGTGCGGTTGTATTTCAGGCCGGCTACTCATAGTTTCTGTGTACATACAACTTTGTGCCTGACCCCTCTTGGGGTGGTACAATTTTGTTAACCAAGAGATACAATTTTTTATGGTACAAATGGTTGAATAATTGAAACCATTCCTGAATACAAAATTGTGGGTCTACTGCACACAAAATTGATCAAGAAAATGATGGTAAAAAGCCATAGCTACTAATCTGTTACAAATTTCCTTTGAGCTGACATTGTTGATTAGAATTATTACTGACTGGAAATGACAAAGGCAAAGATGTGAGAAAAATGAAAGTCCAAGGAAAAACAATGTTTCTTCAACAGTGCTCTAATTTACCATGAACAACGGGAACTTTTGAAAACAAAAATGTATTTTGGGAACAATAAAGAAGAGATGTCCATCTTGTTGTCCCTACGTTAATTAAGGGAAAAGATATGAATTCAATATTGCTGCCTATAAGTTAGAATGACCTGTATTTTGGGGCAATCATGAACCTTTTTACTTGATTTAATCCCAACGTGTAAACTACTAACCGTATATAAACCTAGTGGATCAAATGCAAAGTACAAAACAAGAAGACACTTGAAAAATGAACCAAGAGAAAGAAATCAAACTGGAACTAGCTCTCTATTAATAATGAAATCAGTACAGCCACCAAGAAAAGAATGTACAGAATGATGAGGTATCATACTAATCCATGAAAAAGCTTTCACCAGTTATAGCAAAATTTGATGGCTTTGGGCACACAGTGGTTGGAAGAATCACAGGTTTTGAGTCCCCAGGGTACAGGACTGCCAAGGGAAGAATCGCCTCTGCATCCCCAGGTTTTGAACCTTCTGCCTTTTCACAATTCTCAGAGGATGGCACGGCAGAGACTTGCTTTTTTAAAGGCTCGACTTTGACCTCTCCAAGCCCATCAAGTTTGGTCACAAAAGGGTGGTTCAATAGCTTAGCAGCTTCCAACCTCTCAGAAGGGTTCCTCACAAAGCACTTTCGCAAGAAATCTTTAGCATCTTCTGATAGCCAGCCAGGAACAGTGGGAACTTTTGAAGCAATCAGAAGCTGTAGGTCTTCAAGTGTCGCGCCGGCTTCCAAATCCCACGGGCACCTCCCAGTTAACATCTCGAGCACAACACAACCCAAGGCCCAAATATCAGAAGGCTTCTCCTGATTTCCATAAAGCACGGCTTCTGGTGAAAAATATATTGCAGTGCCTTGACAAGCAGGTTCCTTGCGACTCTTTTTTTTATAGACAGCAAACTTTGCCAGTCCAAAGTCCCCAATTTTGGGCACAAAATC